ATTTTAATCTCTGTCATTTTTTTTAATTTTTAATTCTTTCATGTTCTCCTTCCACGTTTATAATATTTTTGCTTGGAATAAAAAGAATTAAGAAATAAAACATTCTTATTTAAAGTTATTTCATTTAAGATTTTCAGTTATTCGAGAAAAATTGTTTTTAACGACAGACTTCCGATGTAATGTCGCTACAGGCTGAATTTAATCTCCTAACTCGATTGCCCCTGTTTGTTCCGCCAGACTTGTGCTCAATTAAGACTTTTCTATTCTTTCAAGAACATCTTTCCTGAAATCTTTGGAAAGAAATACAGACGCTTTCGATAAAATCAATACTGGAAACCTGAAAATTAACCGTAAAAATTAACCGTTGTTCGAGAAAAGTTGAATTAATATATCCCATTAAAATGCAAACGACAGTACATAGTTATTTACATCGGAGAGTGAAAATGCTGTTTCATTAGCGCATAATCATCTAGAAATTATTAGATTACATTGATCAACGTATATACATATAGTAGGTCATCGAATTTCCGATAGGTGGCGAGAAAGTAGTCACTCTCTTTTGCCCTTCGAAAACACAGGACCATTATATACGTATTTGCGAACACATTTCGTACCAGTTCTGTAAAATGATTTTTCATACTTTATTAAATATTGTTTTTTTAAATGGCGAACAAAATTCATTTTGTAAGAATATTAATGATGTTTATAAAATAGAAAGTAGAACAAAGATCTCTGATTATAAATTGATATTACAAAAATTGCGTTTGTAATATTTTTAGATAAAATATTCACCCAACTTTTTAATCGCAAAAATTGCGAAATAAAATTTAAAATTATAAATGAGAAATAAAAGAATTTGATAAGACTTGGCAGAAATGTGCTGCAAAATGTATTAATGGTGTATTCACGTGTTGAAGAAAACTTTGATGAGTATCAAATACTTTATTATACACACTCGACCCACTTACCAAACACACGATTATAAGAAGCAGAGATTACGTTCAAATGCGCGTTTACATCATTCACCATAAATAAACATTAAAATATTAAATTACATATGTACACACTAGTGTACTATGGAATTAATCTGTAATTAAACTGTATAATTGAATCGAAGTTTCGGCACAAGATCGTATCATCTCAACGCTGTGTATAATTGTGCATAAATTTAATAAATGAATAAAGATGAAACTCTCGAAAAGCCAACAAACAGATGGAGGATACCTTATCTGCAAGAATACAGAAGCTCGTACGAATCGTGTTACAACTTTCTACATCTATAATACTACATCTTACATTAAATCGACCAAATGTTGCATGATGTTATGTATTTGCTTTTGTATACACGTGTTGTATAACAAATGATATACCTGAGAATTTGCAATTTTTATTAATATAAAAAAATATATTCGTAATTATAAAACCGTATTTATTACAATAATACTAATACTTTAAAATAATAACATTTGTTCATGTGTAAGTGACAATAATTTAACGTTTAACTTGATGTAAAATTTATTGTTTGATGAAATTCATTTCAATCATAATATTTTTACAGAGAATTTTATAAACATCATATATTTCATTATTATGAAATTTGATACGAATGTTATGTGTCTTTTATGACAGATCGATGTAAAGCGTGTAATACTTTATGGTCGCCTTATCGATCATCTCATTTCTTTGCGTTTCGAACAAAGTATCAACGGCACGTGCACCTCGAACAGCAACGTACGTGTCTTTTCCCCTATGGCTTCGTACCTCTAACCTTAAATACCTATTCTGTCCACCTCGCTTTCTATTAATTAACTTACGTTAATTTTATTTAGAGAGAATTTTGCATAATAGAATATCTTAATTCTTCCTTTCTAATAACTACGTATTTCAGTCGAAAAATATTAAAAGAAAAAAGTGTAATTTTTTAAATACAATTAAATATTTTATTTAAATGTATTATTATTATTTAGAAAAATATGGAACAAAATATATAAGAGATAAAAAAATAAAAAACAAAAATAATTCAAAAGCTCAATTCGTTTTATGCGATTATTATTTTATCCTATAGAATATGTAACATGTATAATTCTCTTTTCGGTGCAAAACATTTGTTCCGTTTATAAAATATACTAAAGAGAAAAAATATATATCAAGAGTACAAAGAAAAATATAAGCTTCCGTTTTAAAATAGGAGAATAATTTTAAAATTTAAATATGTCATCAATTACAATGGTTACAAAAAATATTTACACATATCTTGATTTTTCAATGGAATATTTTTTTTTATCCGTTCTAGACTTTATTTTCATATTGTTATATTTTTTCATTTAAATAAAAGAAATGTTAAATGATGAAACATGAAATACTTTATTATTTCAAAGAGATCAAAATATTTAAAAAGAGATAGAAATTAAAAATAAATGCACAAAATTTAAAAGATTTAATGTAAAAGAAATAATAATTCATTAATAATTGAACACAGAAAATCAAGTTTTTAAAAAACCTTCATTTCAGTTATAGTCGGTGTGAGTCATTTCTGAACTATACACCTTATTTTGGCAGGTAATGGAGGGGATAAAGCACCCTTTTACGTCACGCTCAAGTATGTATACAGACACTATTCACACCACAATTTCAATGGAACATGGACATATGTATATGGATGTCCCTGAAAAGCATAGTTTTCTTAAAAGACTATATATAACTGAAACTAATATAAAATAGAAAAAAGTTAAAGTTTACACATTTCAAATTTTATTCAAAAAATTATATACATGTTATATCAACTTAAATTTTTATCTTTTTGCTTTTTCCAAAAATATACATAATAGAATTATAGATACATAATAGAATTTAAACCTCAACAATATCGATTATAAATGATTTTATTAGAACAAAGATTATAAGAACTTAGAACAACTATATTATTCGAATAAATCCTATTAAATTATATTTCTCACATAATTCCATTTAGCGGACAACTAGACATCTCTTCAATGTACACAATACCATATTGCAATAATAATAGTATGATGCGAGATAGTCGAAGGATCAAACGTATTCGTTCGTGAAAATTATCAGCACTATATAAAATTGTATTCATCGGATTACTAATATCGAGAACGCGATCATGAACGGAAATGCATGATTATCGTGATCGAACACAGGTCTTTTGAGGTTGTAGAAATTTATAAAATTACTTGTTTTTACGCGATTCATAATGAAAATTAAAGTAATAATTGTGCAGATATATCTCCATGGCATATTCTAATTCTAATTTACCTTTAATAATACTCATTAATTAGTTCTATTAAAAGCGAAAATTAAAAATTATCTTATCAAGAATTACGAAAATTGAAAATTTATATTCTTTTTTTTTTCTAAAATTTATCAATTCAAAAAATTTTCGAAATATTATGAATATAATTTTTTTTTTTAAAATATTGTTAAAATTATTTTCACAATTTGATATTTCTAGCAATAAAAAAGAAAAACGAAAAAAGCATGATAGTTAATCTTCATATAAAGCGGATTTTTTATGTATTAAAGGTCAAGCTATGACCGATTGTATCTCGTCGGTCAAAAGGTGAAGAAACTTGACCATTGTCGAGCGCTAGAATGGATACGACATGCAACTCTGAATTCCATCGAAACCACATTGGTATTGCTGAAATTTGCTCGAAAATGCAATACCTTTAGGCGACAATGCGCTCTCATATGGACTACACGCGATTACAAGCCCCCACTCCATGTTCTAAACGATAGAAATCACGAAGCGTCGACACGAGGAGGGCCGATTGGCATAGAACATAACGTTCAGAACCCAGTTGCGAAAGAACCGCGAACCAAGGCATGCGTACGCATCCAAGACGAGCTGGGTGCAAGTGGAAATGGGGGATAAGCTGGATTTAGGGGGAGTTCGCGGGTAAAGAAGGGGACGAACGAGTGGGCGTGTGTATGAACCATTTTCGGACGGTGAATCGATCTCTAGATGAAAATAAGCAACCGCAAAGATCATTGACGATGATTTTGAAACGCACCTTGCCTGTTAGAATATTGCATGAGTTTTCGTAACGACTTTCCGACATACAACCGCTTAAACCATTTACTTCACATATATATGTATATATATGTATATATATATATATATGTATGTATGTATATATTCAACCCCATGTATTCACAACGGTGTTGAGACGCGCGCACTAACGCTACCGACACAGCATCCGTGGCTGCGCGCACTGCGGACAGCGAATACACTTTCTTATGTTTTCTGACTGAAACGTATATTCGTAAGGGAAAAGAATAACGGCCAGTGTATCGATACGTCTTGTGTATAGATGTCGTTGAATAATACGAACGAATTAAAGTAATATAGTTTTGTTGGTTATTCGATTCGTTGCATTTGTGTTTATCACTGAAAATATAAACCAACTAACCATAGCTGATCATTGATGTTTATATAAATATATTATTAACGTTACGCTAGAATTCTACCATATCATTTCTATTCGGTGAAAAGCGAAAATAGAATAAAGAATGGGAAGATGATATTCGACTTTTGAAATAGCTTTGTAAACGAGAAAGGATTGTTCGAAGACTTACCCTTGTCAAAAGTTTCTTTGGCCGCATGTATGACCTTCCTCCGTCTAAGACCGTCGCCCGCGAGGACGGTCGTCATCGTGCTGGAAACGTTGTCCGTTGTTCTCTCATCTTCGTCACTGTTCGCGCACTCGCCGGAGGTGGTCGATGCACGGTGGTCGAGGAGATTGATCGGGGACCCCTCGCCGCCTGGCATAGTGTCCCGATTAACAGGACCGTCGCGTCCTTAACCGAGGACCTTTGCGCCTGAACTGAACTCGCTCCCTCTATGCAACCTCTACTGGTTTCTCTTCGTTCGCAAACTCTCTTCGCCCTTCGTCGCCGCTGCAGCGTTTTGTGGCGCTGGCCGCGTCGTGGCGCCACTTTCGCAGCTTATTGTCGTCGAACAATTTTCTCAAGTTATTTGCAATCCTTTTTTCGTTAGTGAAAACTAAACATTGTGAAGTATTATCGTTAATAAAAAAATAAATATAAAATGTGTGAGTGATTGATCGAAGAAGTTGATTGGAATAATATGAATTTGTAATCATGATGGTAAGTTGAGTTCAATTTATTTATAAATAAAATAGATAAGTCTAAAAGAGACGCAACGATAAAAATGGTTAAAATCACGTGTTGTAGTTAGGTTAAGTTTTTTAACGGTTTCTTATTTTTTATTAATAAATTAATAATCATTATTGTTTGTTGATCAATTCGATTGCTTTATAGATCTTCAAATTCTATATTTGATGAAAACATCGATTAATCAATCAATCATAAATTCTACGAATCTTCTTGAAAACATTTTAAGTGATAATTTCACTTATAACATTTAACAATAAAGAGTTTTATTACTTTCTATTTTATTCTTTCTTGTGCATATTAAAATAAAATTATAATTTTATTTCTTTTTTTAGAAAAATTTATTATAGCACAAGATATTTTTCATAAGATAAAGTATTAAAATTCATGAACAAATATTATCGTTTATCCTAGGATCTAATAAATATATCAATCTTATTAATCTTTTTATCATTTTCATAATTAAACGTAAATAAATGTCGCTTGAAAAAAACAATGAAATAAATTTAAAATTCAACTTCACAGTTGATTATATGAAGTTGAAATATAAATTCATTCGTATGAAAATTACTTTTTAAATATACATTGCCTTCGATAGTATAAATCTCGATAATTTATAATTAATATTCATTTTTTCTCGAAATAAGAAAATATTTCCGCTATCTGTAGCGAACTTCAAATACGACTCGCGATCGATCCGATGTTACGCCATTTCTCGCTGAAATATATATTCACTGCGATTCGTGCTACTTTTTTTTTCCTTTTCCTGTCGTTTTCCACGCCATGTGACACCATCGGAAACTCGAGTATTTTTGCCACATGAAAATTAGGTTAAGGATTCGGTTGACATTCACGCCTAGTGCAAAACTTTTCTTTCCTATATATTCTGAATATTTAGTAATCTGTAATTTTATAAGGATTTCAAGAAATCTTATAAAATATTTATATATAAAAAAAAAATAAATAAATAAAATAAAATTCATTAGAAAATATTTATTTTTTTCTACTTTATATTAAGTAATAAAAAGTCCAATAACTAGTTTTTAAATAAATAATCTTGTAATGCAAAATTGAATATAATATAATCAATATCAAAAATTGATTGATCATGGCACGACATAACTTCACACGCGTTCTAAGAATCGAACATCAATATTTCGATTTTCGTGAAATCGTTTCGTGAAATTCATAGTGCGAAATTAGAATCTGTGATGTGGAAAATTGACTTTTTCGCAGGTGTCAAGGACACGTTCTAAATTCAAACATCTATCTATTTCGAAACATCGTCGAGTTGATTATTTCCTATTTCCGGAATCGAAATGACTATCAAATGTGACAGTGTCGATCTCGCAGATATCATCAGGAATCGATAACACGGTCTCCAATTGAATGCAGATAGGAAAGCGTAGCTATTGGAAAATGATCGTAATGTGACTTCTGGTACGCTTTGATAATTTTCTTCACTGAATATGATGGCTCTCAAGAGTAAGTTAATGCATCGATAAACAAGCCTGGGATGAGATAGAATTCTAAAGATGATCGAATATCTGTCATAGAATTAATTTGATTGATTTTTACCGTTATATCGACAATATTTCAAATATCATTTACATCGAATTTTCTTTTTATATATCGCATGACATTATATTATATTATTATATATTATATTATTATATATTATTATCATTCTATAAATCAAAATTTATTGATTATATAATATAATTATATAAAATGATATGAATCTTAAAACTAATGTCTTATCGAAAACGTTATTAAAAATTTGTTAAAGAGAGTGATATTATTCATAAAAGAAATTTTATCTAATATATTTTTAATATAATAAATTGTCTTTAAATTAATAATCTAAGTTAAAAAAAAACATAATATTAAAATATTTACAGAAGTCCAAAGATTTTAAACTCATCGTTTTAAACTTTTTTTTTCTTTTTTAAATAATCAGATTAAGGTTTATTAACGAAAGATTATTAATAAGAATTATTAATATTTTCATAGTAAGAATCGATAAGGATTAAACTCGTGGCCAATTCAATCGTTATTAGAATTTTTTCAAAGAAAAGCAATGGAAGATTAATTAAAAGAAATATAACCAGGCTAATGAACTGTATTGAACTTTGGTCCTGGCAGTTTGTTGGTTCAATTTAATACGGAGGAGGCGAGAACAGCTCAGAAGTTGTCTGTCTATCCTTTTGAAAGGATAATGTATATGGTTTCCAATGCCACTGTTGAATTCGTGTAACTACAATGAGAGAAATGTTTATTCTTGGCACTGTTTTCCAACAAATGATTTAATTCCTTTGGCTGCAACAACGATTTCTCAGACATCTTTTTCTTTTATGCTTTCAGTCAGAATTAAATTTTATCTTATCTACCTTCTACGTTATATCTACATAATATAACTACTGAATTTTTTTATTAATTTTTATATTTAAATTATCTTTCTGCGTTTGATTGTGGGTTTAATTAAAATTGAGAGATTTTGAATTTTTGTATAAAAGAAAAAGAATTTTGAAAAATATTATTATTCGTCATATAGTTCTTATATAAAATAATTGTTTATTGAAAAAATATGAATTTTTAAATTAAATTTTGAATTTATTTTTCTTTATGTTTCCCCGTATATTTTCTATGAAAAAAAAAAAAACATTGAAAGGAAAGTTTTTTTATCAATCTTCATAATTGCATTTATAATAATTTTTGAAAAAAGAATTTTCCAATTTTTAAATTTAAATTAATCACAATATAACGTTGAGCATTAAACGAGATATCTTACCTTTGAAGCTAAATATATAATCTTTTCTTATAAGTATTAAAATAATTACCAGATAACGTGTATAACGAGGACTAATTTTACTCAGATCTCGAGAGTTTCCAACGATTTATAAAGATGATCGTTAGTGCGGTTTAATTCAACCGCAAGAAGACGAGGAACTTGTTGGGTTGCGTGTGAACGAGACTTTTTACTTTTATCTTGTTTTTATTAAAATACTTAAACGCTTAACTTACACGTATACCAACGGCTGGCAGAAAAATTAAGTTAAATAGACTTATCATTTCTATCATTTCTCTTTTTCTCCGTTTTAAAGTGATCGAAACATTAAGCAGGCCTCTGGTTCTCGTTCGAACCGAGCCAAAGGAGAGAAAATCCTTTGGCAATCCTTTTTCACAAGCATCACGATTAATTCGTCGATCATGATCGACCATTCTTATCAACGTTAACTATAGTACACTACTTCTTTTTCTTACCACTTCTTACTTCCAATCTCTTAATTCGCGTTGATATAATTCACACGGATCGACGAAAATAAATATCTCTCCATTATTTAAACTTCAAAATTCTCGTTTACACAAACATCCTAAAAATTTCTTTCTTTAGAAGCATTGGAAGAAAAATATCTCAATAAAATAAATAAATCACGAGGCCCATCCTACAATTTCTATATATATATACAAATAATTCAGATCGAAGAGAACGACGGACGCTTTCTTTATCAAAAAAAAAAAAAAAAAAAAAGAACCATCTTCGGTTCCCTTCATCTGAATCGATCATCTCGACTTGGCCTCGTCATCACGCATCGGCCCCTGTAGCAAATCTCCGTCATATGGGAGACCTTGGTGGTCGTCGAGGTGCGTAGAACCTTGCCCAATATCGATTCCGTCGAATTGCTCGATAAAGTGGGGCTGCTCGGCTTGAAAGTGGTGGACAAAGGAGGAACGGTGGCCGAATTATTCTCGGCCGACGAACTCGTCGTTGCCTCGTCCGAGATCGTCGTCGTTGCGTTCTCCACGTCGGTATTCGCGGTCGCCTCGTTTCCATCGACCCCCTCAAAGATCGTCATCTTCGTCGTCCCGTCATCGTCCTTCATCGTTAATTTCTCCTCGTTCGATCGGTCTGGGAGGTGCAACGTGTTCGAAGGAGGGAGGACGGTGGTGACTTCGCCGTCCATATTCTCCTCCGTGTCGGTGGCCGTGTTCGTCTCCTCCTCGGCGCTCTTCATCGTATCGAAGATCGCCTGGACGTAATCGGAGAGCGTCTTCACGCTGGTGTCGCCCTCGTTCCTCGTCACCAATCCTGGGATAGACGTTGTTCCGAATTTTCCACCTATCTTCCCAGAATCGTGCTTCCAGTTGGAAGGTTTCGACTGCTCGAAGGCAGACGGATACCTTACCTCGCTCCATTTAACTCTATGATTCTTGGGATGATTGAAATTCTCCTCGTTTTTTACCTCCTCGTTTTGCCGTTTCAACAACTCTCCTCCACGATCCTCTTCTCCGGTCTCGTTCACGGATTCTACTATATCGCTCTTTCTTTTCGCCTCTTTTCCATTAACAGTTAATTTCTCAACCCTTCGAGACAACTCTACGAGTGTATCGTTCGCATCCTTCTCTCTGTTGGTTTTATATTTACCAGCTACGTAACCGAAGTTAAGAGTGTTTTGAACGTTCTTCTGGTTCCATTTCCTCGACGATTCCCACGTTTCTTGCCCCATTTCCCCCTCAACGCCCTTCTTCCTCTCCGATTTCTCCTTCTTCTCCTCCTTCATCTTCCCCGTGTCTTGCGGCTTTTTCGCCAATCTTACGAATAAATCATCGAAAGGTGTCTCCGCGATCGTTGTCTCCTCGATCTTGGAAGCGGTTGGGATCGTGGTGGTCTGAATCTCTGTCGTTTCTTGGTCTTCGATCGACATAGGAGGGGTGGTTGTGGTGGTGGTGGTTGTTGTGGGGGTGGTCATGGCCGGATGCACGGTCCACGCCGCTTCGGTGGGCTCGTCGCTCTTCAGAATGTCGGTTATGAAACCTTGCAGGATGGATTTCTCTGGCGAGGCGAAAGACACCGAGGGTTTCGATTGACGGACAGGATTGTACTTGAACTGATCACGAAACAAGCCGTTAAGGGCGGAGTTGAAGTGTTGGGACTCGGCTGTGACAAAATCGTCGGCGGCCGGCCTGACTCG